AGAGAGAGAGAGAGAGAGATCCACACACACACACAGGTGCGCATGGCACCCCCTTTCCCCATCCCCCCTCCCCCCTCCCCCCTCGGTGCGAACGTACATTGTGCCAGAGGATGGGTAGTTTGCCGGATGGATTGTGCTGGAGGGCCTCGGCCTTGAGCTTGGCCTCCCAGTCGCCGAAGTCCACCTTGTCCCAGGTGAAGTCCAAATCGTAACCCAACATCATCACGCGCAACGCTCTGGTGGATGGATGGATGGTGGAACACACACACACGCGCGCACACACAGACGTCCATGGCTAGATGGAGGGACGGTGCGTGTGTGTGTGTGTTGTGGTGTTGTGATGTTGAGCTGTGTAGGTAGAGTTGTGGGAACGCACCCGCCACGTCCGAGGTACTTGCCTGCACACACACACGCCGCAGCACAACACAACACAATGAACAGGGTAGAGAGAGCCAGATCCATCCCTCGCTCCATGGATGCCCCTTCCGTTCCTCCCATCCCATCTCCTTACTTACCGAGGTCGAAGTACTGCAGGGTGACCTTTCCGATGCTGATCCGCGAACGCACGTAGCCCCGCTGCACAGCACACAGCCATCCAGATCCATCCATCCATCCACACCGACAGATCTCGCCACCATCCCCGCCATCTCATCTATCTTCCCTCCCCCCGCCATGACGCGCTTCCGGTGCGTGTGTATGTGCTCACCCCGATCATGGGCATCCCGCCGCCCACTGGAGGGATGGGCGGGGCGCCAGGGTACACGCCGCTGTCCGCCAGGGAGGGCACGCCGCCCGTCGGGTAGCCATACATCGGCAGCATCTCCGATGTGATATGCCCAACACGATACGATACGATGAATAGGTAGCGGCGGCTGGAATGCTCGCCCTCCTCGACAACAATTAGACCAACAAAAATCTGCGGTTCGCGGCCAGGTTTTTGCAAAGCTCGCAGTGGCGAGCTCAGTTTTCTCCAAGATCTGTGCAGATCCAAGCTTGAGGCTGCCTACCGAGCCTTGATTCTGGCTCGTGGCACGTCGATTCGACCATCCTTTCTCCGCTGCTGATTGTGAGAGAGAATGCAGTCATGAGGCCATTGCCGCGCGACGAGCGCTGACAACGAAGAGATCTCGGGATCTGCAGCTTCTGCATCGTCGTGTGCACCGGCGCGGGAGCGGCTGTGGGTCATGCCGATGATGCGCCTGCTGCGAGGCAGCTTCACTCTGTTCGTCACGGCTCTGCTGAGCTGCCAACAGGCAACGACAACGTCCGCACGGCAATGGATGAGGACGGCTACCCACCGCACAGCGAGACCAAACACCGCTGCAGCTGCAGCAGCGGCCGCATTCCTCAGCCAACCCATCACACCACCTGTGGTGGTGACCTCACGCTCTTTCGACACGTGGCGGCACTCACGGCCGTCGTGTGAGCTGACGCCCTTCAGGAGGCGAGCAGCAGGGCTCATCAGGACGGCCGCAGGCGGTTCTGAGGAGGATGCATCGACTGAGTTGGACAGTCGGCGTGAGGCCATCCGGCAGCGGCTCATGAGGTTTGTGGTGGGAAGCGCGGCGGCATTGCCGGTGGCTGGAGGGGCGGGCGGGGCGGATGCGGCGCTGCCGGCGTTCCTGCAACGCCTCCTGGGGGGAGAGGTCAGCTGACCAATCAGACAGACAGACAGACAGGAGCGTCATGTGTGTGTCTGGTGGTTGCAACATGGTCAGGGATTTGAAGAGAAGTCGAGTGGTGATTCGTTTCTGTCGTCGTTCCCCTTCAACCTCCCCTATCCCCCACAGCCCAGCGCAATGCTCCTCCAGACCCTCCCACTCACCTCGAGGGTCGAACCGCTCGTGCAGGTACTGTACAGCCATCCACCGCACCGCCCTTCACAGACAGACACACAGACAGACAGACTCACATGGGTCGCATCTGCCTATGTTTGTGTGTGTGTGCGTGTGTGTGCTGTGTGTGTGTGTGTGTGTGTGTGTGTGCTGTGTGTGTGTGTGTGTGTGTGTGTGTGTGCCGTGTGTGTGTGTGTGTGCAGACGCTCGAGCGCGAGCTGACCCTTATCAGTGACCTGAGGAATGTCAACACGACAGCCGACAGTGACGTCACAGTCCCGCAGAAATACATCGACAGCCTCAGGGTAAGTCAGATGCACACCAACACATACACACACACACACCCCCACACACGCCATCGTCTTTTCTGTATCGCATCGTCTGTGACTCGTGCCTGCCTGCAGAAGGCCCGTTCGCTGGTCGAGAGTCGCCGGAGCGAGCTGCAGCCGACCTTCCGCGAGATGGACCCCAGCGACGTCACCATCAGGCGATTCGCATTCGGCGAGGGGCAGATCGAAGACCTCAAAATGGCTCTCAAAAACGCATCCATCGTCAGCTCGGCAACCACACACACACCGAGCCATCCAGATCACACACACCGTGTCATGTCTGTGTGTCCATTGTGTGCGTCTGTGCCTATGCAGTACTTGGAGAACGGTTTCATCCCGTCGGCCATCGATGCGGCCGATGACGGTTTGTACCACCTGCAGAACATCGCCACGCTCAAGGTCAAGGACTACCCCTACGGCGTGCCGGAGCGAGACGAGTTCGAGCGCTTCCCCAGACTGCTCGGCCGCGCCACCGTCGACATCCTCTTCAGACGCAAGGGCTCTCCTCCCCTGCTCACCCTGGTCATCAACCAGACACAGGCCAATGGCGATCGGCCCGTCAACCCTAATGTCAACGTCGAGACGGGCAGGAAACGGGTCATCAACACTGACGATCCGTCTTTTCTTGGTCAGTCAGCTGGGGAGGGAGAGGGGGGAGGGAGAGGTGGCGCATGCTGTGTTGTGTGTGTGGGTTTAGGCAACTTGACGATAGTGCTTGACGGGTACAGTGCGCCCGTGACGGCGGGCAACTTCCTGGAGCTGGCCGTGCGGGGCTTCTACAACGATCTGCCCATCGTCCTGTCCAACGTCACAGAGAAGCCACCCGCCGTCGAGACCACTCTGCTAACAGAGTCAGGCGGCCCCGACGAAAGCGCCATCAACGAGAGACCTGTGTCCTTCCAAACTGTTATCGGTGCGCCTCACCTCCACACACAGACAGGCGGACAGCACACGCAGAGGCAGCATTGATGAATGGATGGATGGATGGACCTGTGTGTGCGTGTGGTGTGTGCAGGTGGCCGTTACAAGGAGGGTTTTGTGGATCCCTCCACTGGCCGGCTGCGCAAGGTGCCGCTCGAGGTGATGCGCTTCGACCCCGCCGTCGACGACGACTACCCCTCCCTGCCGTTCGCCTCCATCCGGCTCCCCTCCGACCGGTCGCAGCGCAAAGGCGTCCTCACCTATGGCGACGACAACTTCGACGCCAACACACGCAAGAAGCGGCCACTCACCTCTTTCACTGTGCAGGTGTGTTGCTGCATGTCTGTGTGGGTGTGGGTGAACGGGTCTTGTGTTGTGTTGTGTGTGGTGGTATAGGGTGCGTTGGCCTTGGCGCACCCCCCCGACGATCCCAACGGCGGCTCCAGCGAATTTTTCTGGCTGAGGACGCAGCAGCCACCCGCCAAGATGGGACAACTGCAGGAGGTCCGACAGACACAACCGCACACCCACCCCACCGGAGGCAGCAGACGGACGCGTGTGTGTGTCATTGATTCATTGATTGATCATTCATTCAGGGAGCCCAGGTGCTCGACGGTCGGTACAGCGTGTTCGGCTATGTGGTGGACGGTATGGAGGAGATCACGCCTTTCCTGCAGGAGGGCGACTTCATCGACCGTGTGGTGGTGCGTGAGGGCCTGGAGAACCTCGTCAAGCCCAAGACCAGCTCGTTCGCCGACCTGCTCACCAACTTCAGAACTGGAGCCCAGCAGCAGCAGCAGCAACAGCCTTCTCCCGCCCCAAGCCCCTCGCCCTCCCCTACCCCTACCCCCGCCCCTCCCTCAGAGAGCAAATCGTCGCCGCCAATTCCGCCACTCATCCCGTCGCCGTCGAGCCCCAAGACGACTGTGTCGTGACTGTGAAATCCGTGACGTCATATGACAATGTGCTGTGGGTCGTGTGTGTGGCGGGCGTGTCGTTGGCTGCGAGTGTCATCCCACTGGTTGATTGATTCAAGAGAGAGAGAGATGTGTCGAGTGTTTCAGTCATTGATGCGTTGTGTGTGTGTGTGCCTGTGTGCCTGTCTGTGTTGTGGAGGGGTTGGTGAGAGATGATGACTCACTTGGATGAGCCAGGGAGGGAGGGAGGGGGGACATTTAGATAGATGCCTGAGAGATGAGATGAGATGAGAAGAGATGATATCAGACGCAGACAGCACGAGGCATTGACAATGTCATTGAGGGGAGGGAGGGAGGGAGGGAGGTTGTCTGATCTCATGATCCAATGAGAGATGTGAATGAGACTTGCAACGCACCCTGATTGATGATACATATTGATGCACCGGCTTCTCCACTGTCGATACTGTCGCGCAAGCAGACGGAGAGCACATAGGCGGACCGCTGCCTACGTGCTCCGCGTCTGCCGGCAGGACATGATCGGCAGGAGAGGAAGAGCTGATGGAAGTCGAAAACGGTCACTCATTGCAAAATGGCTGAATGCGCCCGCACACACAGAGCCAGACGCCATCAAGATGAGACGTGTCACCAGACGCGCCAAATCTGACACGGACTCTCTCCAATCCAAACCACCAGACCAAAAACAGTGCCGTAGACAGACACACACACAGACATGGACAGCCACGCACCGCCCTCCCCTCGGCTATCTATCCAGCCATTAGGCCCCAATGAATTGCTGCAGTGCCCTCCAGAGCTCCGCCACGAAGAGGGCCACCTTGTCCGCCCCGCCCTCACTCTTGACCGTCACCTTCACACCGCTGCCCGCCTCCATGACGCACTCGACAAAGAAATACACACCAACACCACCACCACCGGGACCGCCCTCCTCCATCGCATAGAAGAAGAACTTCAGCTGCGACCCCGCCGCCCCTGACGCCTGCACACCACATAACATTTTGCCAGATGTGTGCAGATGACACTCATCGATCTCATGGGTCTGTACCCACCATGCAGTAGATCCTCCTCTGCTCGCAGCTCTGCTCGACAGCTGCAAGGACGCTGTGCGTGTCGGTGGGCAGCGCGGCCGACCTGCTCTCGGTGTGCCGCACAGAGAGCGCCGTCCATCGCCTCTCGAACTGGGGGGCGTCCATCGCAGGCCGCGACGCGAGAGCAATGGAGGGGGTGGTGGACGAGGTGGATGGTGATGGTGCTGGGGGCGGGGAGGTGGTGAGGCCGAAGGCGAGATCGAGGGCGCCTGGGTGGGGCTGGGAGCCGGCACTTCCGGCGCTACTGGCTGCCGCCGGGGGAACCGACCTGACGAACGACAAACATACACACATACACACACACAATGACAATTCTCGAGAGAGGGGTGCGTTGCGTCTGGCTCACGTGGCTTCATGCTCGATGTCTCCCAGGAGCGAGTCGGCGACTGTCGTGGGTGCTGCTCTCTGCTCCTCCCCCTCCCCACCTCCCAGCCCCAGCAGATCACCGCCATCACCCACACCCACACCCACACCGCCCAAGGCAGCCGCCGGGCCGTCGGGCAGCGGCACATGTGTGTGGTCCATCAGCAGCGATGTTGAGGGCTGGTCTGCCGTGTCCCCTAGGAGATTGGGCTCCTCGTCGGCTGCTGCTGCTGCTGCTGCTGGGAGGCCATTGAGGTCGGTCTGTGTGGTGTCGAGGGCCTCAGGGAGGGCGTCGGTGGACGCCCCGCGAGACTCGCTGCCCTGGTACCGACCTGTCATGAGAGCAGATGAGACACATGGGGGTGGAGGAGGGAGGGGGGAGGGGTAGGTATCTTACTACTTACCTGCTGCGAATATGTTCTTGGTGTTGACGAATTTGTGGTAGGTCTGGCCGTAGAGGACGCTGAGTGAGTTAAACTCCCCGAAGAGCTTCTCCTTCACATCCTTGTCGACGTTCTCCTGGTGGGGTGGTGGGCATACACACACACACACACAACCACACACAGAACCACACACAAATGACTGACACAGAAGCAGCAAGCACCAGTGCGGCCTCATCCATCCATCCATCCATCCATCCACCTTGCTCCTTGGGTACCTGGAATCCCTCCACCGGCTGCTTTGCGCAGTTAATGATGCGCTGCGCCTCGAGGACGTTGTAGGACACCAGGCGGTAGTACAGCAGCGCCCTGTCGTGGACGTCAGGGCTGCTCGTCTCCTGAACCGCCTGAGCCCATCCATCCATCAAATAGACACAGAGTGGCAGGATTGTGGGTGGCTGGCTGGCCGGCCGAGCTGACAGACCTTAGAGAGGAGGCTGCCGAGTATCTTTTGCATCTCCGGCGGCCGCTTGAAGAAGAGCTTCATGGCCGCGGTGAGCAGCTCCGTCTTGACGGACGCGCTCTCCTCCTCGCCGAACCGTTCTACCAGGGGCTCCAACAGGTACGGGCTGTCGTCGATGGACTCGCCAAACTCCCCTGGTGAGTGACGGCCGTAGAAGACGCATCGGGTGATGGGATGGATCGTCGTGTGTTTGTGTGATGTGTTATGGTGGCGGTAGCTACCTAGCATCCATAGGACGGCGCAGAGCCCCTCGGGGTCGGCCACCACTTTGAGGCACTTCTCCATCACACCCACAACACGGCTGAATTGCTGATCCACACACACACACACACACACTCACACACAGAGGGATGGCTGGATGGATGGCTGGATGCCCACCTGCTGGTATTTCCTCAGCAGGTCCTTCATGACGACCACAGTGGCAGTTGAGACGTAGTCGATATCGAGGCTGAGGAAGCCCAGGAGCTGCTCCACGATGGTGTCGACGGCCTCGGGGATCTTGAGGGCCAGCGCACCCACCGCCTGGATGGTCTTCTTGGCGATGTCCGAGTCGACGTCGCTCACGTACTCACTCAGCTCGGTCAGAATCTCACCCACATTGGCCTGATAGCATGACAGACAGCATGACGTCCATCTCTCTCTCTCTTTGTGTGCGTGTGGGACGGTGTGTGAGAGGGTGTATGTTGGTGTTGGGGGCTGACGGGGGATGGGGGGGTGCCTACTACCGGTGTGGCGAGCGTCTTGAGAATGTCCAGCTTGACGGTCTTGATGTAGGACGGCTCGTTGTACCGGCAGAAAAAGTGCTTGTAGTCGTGCTCCATCACACCCAACGAGTCCACTAACAGACACACCACACCACACCACACCACACCACACAGTAGAAATCATATCATCCACTGCCGCCACATACATGTGCTCAACTGGCGCTCGGTGCTCACTCACCCTTGGAGAGCAGCAGGAGGATGTGCACCAGCACGGTGTAGGACAGCTCGAAGCACGACGTCGACACGAGGGTCAGGAGGGGGTCCTTGAGCCGCAGCAGCACCTGGTAATGCAGCTCCGGGTGGCTCTCAGTTAAGCACACGAAGCACTTGGTCACACCCTGGGTGGGTGACCAACACACACAGACCATCACACACACTCACACAGACCGTCACACACACACGCACACACACACACAAACAGCAGCTGACCAGTACGACAGCGGCTGAGGCGTGTTTGAGCCGTTCCTCGAGGATGTTCATGATGTCGAACCGCTCGTTGTCGTCGGCCGGGGGGTAGTGCGTGAGGAGGTTCAGGATGATGCTCTGGCCCCACTCGCTGAAGTACCGGATCCTGCCGACACACACACACACACAGGCAGACATCAACAGGGGAGAGAGAGAGAGAGCGGTCTGCACACCGACCTGTTGAGGAGGTGTATCATCAGGTTTCTGTCGAAGGCCATGCCGCCCTCCTCTGTGTGCATCTCGTTCAGCGCACACAAGGCGTTCGTCACGACCTGCAGCCACACACACAGATACACACACACACACAGACAGACAGACAGACAGACAGCAGACAACACGATCTCACTTGTGTGTGCCCGTGTGTGTGTGTGTGTGTGTGTGTACCTGCGGGTCTCCATCAGCGGTGAGCTTGTAGAGTATGGAGAGCAGGTCTGAGTCCTTGACCACCTCCGGGCTGATGTGGTACAGCTTCAGACACCCCACCACGGCCGTCTTGCGCACATAACCATTGTGGTCGTTCAAACCACGGCGGATCGCTGCACGCACCACACACCACACACAACACACAAGGGTGAATGGGATTGCCAATGACGGCGGGCTCACGCGCCTCGCACAAGGAACGTACCTGCCTCGAGGTACTCGACCATGTTTGTGAGTCTGAGGCTGCAGAGGCTCCTGAGTGCCAGCCCCCGGATTGTGGGGTCCTCGTCGCGGCAGTCCTTCTGCAACGTGTTGACCGCCAGGATCGCCAACTCGCTATTGCTCTCTGCACACACCACACACGCCAGACACGTCAGACACGCCGCAGCATCATCCCTGGTGTGTGTGGTGTGTGTGGTGTGTGTCGTGATGCATGCGAACTCACCGGCGTAGTTGGCAAGGTAGAGGTAGATCATCTTCTTCTGAACGAGGTCGGTGGTGCTGGTCGCCATGATCATCTCGCTGAACAGTTTGCTCACATCGATCCCTGCACACACCAAACACACGCACACACACGCACACACACAACACCACAACGCAACACAACAGACAAGCATGATCTCTCTCTCTCTCTCTCTGCCGGTGCGTGTGCCATCACTAATGCCATCAAAGAGCCTTCCTTCCTTGACTGACCGAGTGTCATGTAGGCGATGACTTTCTTGATGGCATCCCGCTTCTTCTGCTGGTCCTTGTCGAGCTGCACCTGCCGCAGCAGCTGCCGTAGCTCATTCACCTCGCCCTTCTTGTGATCTACGAAAAACTGAGGCGGCGGGCCGGGAGGCCGCGACGCGCCGGGCAACGACGTGGCGCCGCCTGGCCCTCCTGGTGGTGGTGCAGGTGTTGGTCCGATGGATGGATGGCCGGAGGGGGCGCCTGGCGGAGGCGGCGGACCGACGGGATTGGTGCGGGGGGGAGGGGGGATGCTCATCGCTCACGCTGCCTGTGGCTTCAAGCGCTACCTCATCCGAGAGATCTTACTTTGTGGCTAAATCCGCAGACGTGAAGGGTAAGGGTTTCTGGGGTTGGGTTTGATGAGAACGGAGGTGGAAGATCTCTTCCCTGAACGGTGTTGGCATCAACAGACAAGACGAGGCGCACTTGCCGACCCACCAGAGCTGATCATCCTATGGGTGATCATCCGCATACGGCGAGGTGAGCACTGCCAGAAAGACCGTTTGCGTGTGTCTTGTTTCATTCGCACGTCCGTGTGTATGTGCATATGTGTGTTTGTGTGTCTGTGTGGCTGGCACAGCGGAGCAGCGCAAGATCCAGCTAATTAACGAGGGAAACATGCAGATCATGCAGATGTTTGAAGCCAGCGCTCCTTCCGGCGGACTGGAGGGGGTCCTTGATGCGTTCCTTGTCTTCCTTCATGCTCTTGGTGATAGAAATTGTGATACTCCTGTTGATCGGCTTTTTGTACTGTTTGTGGATCTTCTTGGGGTCCAAGTTGGGGATCTTGGAGGGAATCCTTCTGAAGCTGTGCAGCCTTGTTCCAGCGCTGCGCCCATGGGCGCTGCGCCGGCTGAACGCTCAAAACGCTGACGTGGCTCAGCGTCCTGCGGGCGCTGCTCATGCCGCAGTAGCTCCTCAGCCTCCCGCCGCGGCCGGCGCTGCCGCACACCCTCTCGCTCCCCGCCCTCCAGCTCCCCGCCCCGCACCTTATAGGAGAGTGCGCTTCCGGGGTGTGGACGCTGCTCTCATCAGAGAAGTACTCGATAAAGGTGAGTGAACGGGTGAGTAACCAACAGCAAGGGGGCGGTATGGATGGGCTATTTGTTTGCCTGGTTTGCGATTAATGGGGTTTCATGCATGCAGTTCCTGACCATGAGTTTCCGGCCTCCGTGGAGCGGTGTCCCATCTCATTGGCCGTTCCGCGCACTCCCGTCATCACACCCTCAGGTATGCATCTTGAAGCTGACCATTTCCTCTCACCCGTTGCTTCTCACCCACGCAGGGCACTGCTACGAGCTGTCGGCCATCCTCCGACAGATCAGCGACCACGGGGTGGACCCTCTGACGCTGGAGCCTCTGGGAGAGGGTGACTTGGCTCCGAACCGATATGCTGTGCACCACATCGAGTGCTGCGCCTGACAGGTACGCACGCCAATTCTAAGGAACGGGTGAGCCGCATCAAGAAGCCCTTCTGCTGTGTGTTGATATCAGATTTTGGATGCTCGGCGAGCGGCGGCATCATCGTAGAACGAAAGGAATTACTGGATATGCCAAGTGCCTTTCTTGGCGGTCAACGTTGGTGGCCCCTTAGCGACAATTCTTCATCCCGCAGGCGCTCCGTGCATTCGCGAGGGCCTGCTTGATGCGGAGAAGAAGCGTGTCTAGTGCACTTATTGTGTCACTCAGCGAACCGTCCGGGAAACTACCGACGCGCTGATCTGTACGGCCATTTGTCCATCTGCCTGAATCATCTGTTGACACGCCAGTATTCCACTGTCGAGATGCCAAGATGTTCCGCGACGACCCATTCGGTAACGCACAGACACGCATGCGGCACACTAAAACCTCACACCGCCTCATCTGCCTGTTTGCTCTCCATGTGTCTTGTCCTCTCTGTGTGTGTTGATGGCTGCAGGCGCCGATTTCCGTTCGCTGGGCCGTGAGCTGCGTCAGATGCAGCGCCAGATGGACTCGCTTTTCAACGACGTCGGCCGCCTCAGCGGACGCCCCGCCGGCGTGGGCGTCATGCTCACCGACACCACACCGGCCGAGCCGGAGGGTGGGGGTGGGCAGATAGCGCAGCACGTGAGCGAGGAGCGTCCGCCCAGCAGCATCTCGTCGCTGCTCACCTGGGCGCCGCGGATGGACATATCCCACGACGACAGCAACAACGTCATCGTGGCCGCTGAGCTGCCCGGCATGACCAAGCAAGACATCAAGGTATGGGTGGAAGCGGTGGGACGAAGATGATGTGGGCGAGAGGCTGGTGCTGCGTGCACAAATCGGCCGTGACGACCCATCGTCATGGCCGCCTGCTGACCGACAACGTCACAGAGGATTTGGGCATCGCTGTCGACTTCCGCTACGGCCTTGGCGATCTGAATGCTGAAAGGCTTGTGATTGTGAAAGGCTTTCGGCCCAACGAGACCATTGCTGGCCGTCTGTTTGTGACTGTCGGTCTCAGCTATCCCATTTCGATGCACCTGTGGTGTGGTGTGCTGCGCGATTCGGTCTCGAGAGTGACGTCATCGACAGGGGGATCGTTTTAGGGTGAGGCGTGGTGACTGATGTGTGGAGTGGGATGAGTGAGGAAAGACCGATTGGGTCGTCCATGTGTGTGTGTGTGTGTGGATGGTGTGTAAGGCTTTGACGGATGGCGTGGCCGGGTGGTGCTCAGACAGATCTGTGTGCGTGTATTCTGTCTGCTCTCTCTCCCTCTCCTTTGTGGCATGCAGCTGGCAGACAGACGTGTGTCGGCTCGACTCATACTGATGAACATGATGCACATGGACTGATGCATTCACAAAGAGTCGCCACACATCCACACACACACAGAAAGAGAGAGCCCAGACGCGCACGTGGCCTCTGTCCGTCCGCCCGCCCTCGGCTGCGAAGAGAGGAGTGTTGTGTTGGTGAAGGCCTGACTGCCAGAATGACAGACAAACCCTGAATGTGACGTGTGTGCACTGCTCATAACCCTGCCCGCAGTGCACGTGTGCCCTGTGAGGGACAGTTTTTCAAGTCAAGCACCGCTAGTCAGCCTGTCTGTCTGTCTGTCTGTGTCTGTGTCTGTCATAGCGGTTGAACATGCACATGAAGTCGCCACCTACTAGATAAAGGTCAATAAATGCTATCACTAAGTCAGCCCGCACAGCCCCCCATCCTCCTATCTCCTCTGTCCCACCCAGCCGTTCCCAGCCGCCTCCATCTATCGCTCCAGAGAAAGTTCGGTACCGTCCGTCTTGACCACCACAAATGGCGACCCGGCCGATGCCAGGGCCCCATCCACAGCAGCAGACGCCAAATAGGCAGGGGAGTGACGCAGCGGGTGTGTCCTCTCGCTGGCCAATTGCTCAGTCACCCGCTCGCTGAACGCCACCTTCTTGAGCCCTGGTGTGTTGTGCGTGACGGCCGTGATGAAGTCCAGCTGCACATCGCCGAAGCGGCCGTGGACGCAATAAGGCGTGGTAATGAACAGCTCCTTGATGGACGGCAGCCGAGCGGCGAGCTCGGGAGTCGTGAAGAGGTGGTTGATGGGGCATGTCTGCGGCCGGAAAGCCTCGATATCATCAAGCTGTGCAGGCACGAAGACCAACGCCACCTCGTTCACATGGCCGATGGTGTCAAGACACTCGAGTGCCAGCTGTGCGAGGAGGGCGGGGGCGGCCTCACGGGGCGGCGGCTGGCCCGTGCCGTAGGTCGTGTCGTATCGGCTGGGTGTGTCCGTGAGCGTGACGATGATCTTTTTTTGAGCTGGCCCTTGACTGGCTCGAACAGCTCCCTCACCCCGCCCTCTCGAACCAAGTGGACGGACGGGAGCACGAAGGTGACGGATTGCAGTCGCGGGAAGCGGCTGCATGGGGCGGCTGGGAGCGACGGCAGCACGCCGTCGGTGAGAAGGGAATCTTGGATGGTCAATTCGGTCAGCGACTCGAACACGTAGTCATCGAAGCTGCCCGCCGGTGCCGTGCTCGACACCGTCTTGACCTTCATGGACTTGGCCACTCGGGCCATCTCGCGGACGATCTTCTTGGGCAGCACGTCGGAGGCCGTCAGACCGAGACGCAGCAGCCTGTCGTCGAATCCAGAGGGCATCCTGACGAATAGCCGGAAAGGGCGCTGAGGGGGCTTCGCGTCGGCCATCTCGCCACTCGCGTTATCGTCGTCATGGTCATCAGTGGGCACCATGTTGGGGAAGAGGGGCGCCCTCCTCCCGCCGCCCACAGACGGCTCACACGCAGCTGCCGCACTCGAAGACGACGGGACCGCCACGCTGTCCACCTGCTGGTGCGGCGGGTTGACCCCGTCCGACAGAATGTGGTCGTTCCACGGTGCTACCTTGGGAATGGCCGTCACTTGAGTGTCCGCAGCCGATATTCCCACACCCGCCAGCCGTTGGATGGCCGCTGCGAGGGCTCGCAGGCTGGTAAGGATGCCATCTGGCTCCATGTCATCCATCTCAAGGCACACGCCGAGTGTGTGGATGCGGCCGTTGGCTCCCATGGCCCACTTGGCCTCCAGCACACTCAGCAGCGGCTCCCATGATGAGGCGTCCGTCCACTTCAGAAGAATGCAGCCCAGCGAGGTCAGGTTGACCAAAGAGGGGGCGGCCGACAGGGATGAGGTGAGGAGGGGAAGGCTGATGGGCGTCACGTGGACGTGGCTGAGGTGGGGCGATGCCTTGATCCAGCTCATGAGGTTTTGGGGCGCAATGAAAAGGCTGCTGCTGACGAGTGTCTTGAGGGCGGGGAGGGACCATCGCCGCGATTTGGCCACGCCCTGCCACAGTGCGTCGCACAGGACCACCTCCTCAAGCTTGCCGAAGGTGACCCTCGGCGGCCGAGGGCTGGCGGTGACCGGCAAGTTGGAGGTCGTCTTGTCCTCCAGTCGACACTTGCGGAGCGATGCCGCCGAACCCTCGAGCATCTTGGCGTATACCGACCGATGGCCGAGGGCGCGGCGGCGTCCCTCCGTCCCTCCGCCCACCACTTGCATCAGCTCATCGTCCTCTTGTTGGCCGTCGTCACTGGCGGTGTCCTCGCCCGGCCGGTCCTGATCGGGCCCTCGCGAGTAGACCTCTTCGTCTGTGGCGATGGCGGCCGTCTGCAGGCGGGTCAGCCGGCCCCGCAGCTGCCGCAGGACGGCCCGCGATGCTCTGCGCCAGAGCTTGTGGGTGGCGGGGGTGATGATCAGATGGCGGATGACGAACGGCGAACAGCACGTGTCCTGCATGGTCTTGTCGAGGAGAGCCAGGCGGATGGCCTCCAGTGTTGGCATGTGGTCACACACATGGGCCAGCTTCTCGGGCGGGACACCACACAGCGACGCATTGGGCGGCGGGGCGGCCTGACCAGACGAACGAGCAGACACATCCATGTGTGTGTGTGCTTCACGTAGCGTCTTTGGCTCACCAGCTGTCGCTGTGTGATAATGGCGTTGGCGATGGCCTGAGGCTCCGGGCTGCTGAAATCTGACACACACACACGGCACGACAACAACACATCAGCGCATTTCACACCTCGTCTGTGCCGTGGTTGCCGTCATCTCATCATATGCACCTGTCGGCTGCTCATCATGGCGCTCTTGAGGCTCTTGATCTCCCTTGTGTGGTGCCGGGGCAGGCCGCAGGAAGCGACGAATGTCGGTTTGCCGGAGCATGATGCTGGGCGGGCAGCTAGATGCGCAGCTCTTGTGCCCTACTGAGGTGAGAAGTACAGCTCTCGAAGGGTGGGCGAGTCAGCAATTATGGAAAGACTAGAGTTTGGCCCGCGCGTCCGCGGGCGGTCTGGAAGCTGTATTAGGGAGGTGACCCGTGCTGGCCCGTGCCCTCTGAGTCGCACAAACGAACGAACGAACGAACGAACGCCCTGTGCGAGCTCAATACTGGTCCCCTCTGTAGTTCGAACCCGCGACTCCCTTTCCTACCCGCGCGAAACGCATTTCCGCTCCGATCTCCGCACCCGCCCCTCCCCGGACCGCAGCTCTCCAGCACAGGCAACGCGGGAAGCTTCCGCAGCGTCTGACATGAGAAGACGGCGGACGATTTGGTGGGTGGTGGTGGTGGCCATAACATACACGCCAGGGACTCGAACCCGCGACTCCCTGTACCCCCCCGCTGGACGCCTCAACCACTGCGCTATGTGGTCCTCGGGGAGGGTGACTGCTCCGCGTGCGAAACGCATTTTCGCTCGTATCTCCGCACCCGCGCCTCGCTGGACCCCAGCTCTCGAGCACAGGCAGCGCGGGAATTTCCCGCAGCGTCTAACACGAAAAGACGCCGGTGGTCTGTGGGTGGTGGGTAGCGAGCTTGAATTTGAGTTGCTTATAGAAAGATGTGGGACGCCCTGGAGATGCTCAGGGTTCAGGGCCCGCCTCGAGCTGCTCCTCTGTCGTTTGTGGATCGGTCAAGCGGCGGCTGTGCGAACGGCTCCCCTGGCGGCGGCTCGGGGTGTGGAAAGAGATGCTCGACGGTTTTCAGCTAAGCTCGCAGATGTTCAGGGTTCGGGTTTCAGGGTTTCGTCCCGCCGGCCTGCCCCAAGCCGTCCTGCAAAAGCCGTCCTACCCAAGCCATCCTGCCACCTGTGGACGCGCTGATCTGTTCATCCATTCTTTCATCCATCCGTCTTCGATCTGCCTGCCAAGTCGTCTCTCCGTCGGTTTGCCCCTGTGCCCCTGTCGAGCTGAAGTTCTCACCACTGCCCCGAGTAGCCAAGATGTTCCGCTACGACCCATTCGGTAACGCACACACACATGCAGGGCACATCACCTCGTCTGTCTGCCTGCTCACCTCTCTGCTGTGTGCCGTGCCCTCTCTCTCTCTGCGTGTGTGTTGATGGCTGTAGGTGCCGATTTCCGTTCGCTGGGCCGTGAACTGCGCCAGATGCAGCGCCAAATGGACTCCCTCTTCAACGACGTCGGCCGCCTCAGCGGACGCCCCGCCGGCGTCGGCGTCATGCTCACCGACACCACACCGGCCGAGCAGGAGGGCGCCACCGGGCAGATAGCGCAGCACGTGAGCGAGGAGCGGCCGCCCAGCAGCATCTCGTCGCTGCTCACCTGGGCGCCGCGGATGGACATATCCCACGACGACAGCAACAACGTCATCGTGGCCGCTGAGCTGCCCGGCATGACCAAGCAAGACATCAAGGTACTCACGTGGGCATTTGGATCGACAGAGGGAGAGAGGGAGGGGGAGGGAGGGCAGGGGGCATCCATGGCCTCTCACCTCACCCTGTGTGTGTGTGTGTGTGTTGTGTTGTGATGTGTTTCAGTTGGATTTCCAGGACGGTTTGCTGAGCATTTCTGGCGAGAGCAAGAAGGAAGACAAAAAGGAGGGCGAGGGCTGGCTCTACCAGGTACATCACACAGGTCCATCCTTGCATGGGTACACACCGCACCTCCCTCTTTTTGTGTATTGTAGGAGCGTCAAGTGGGCAAGTTCCACCGCTGCCTGCGTCTGCCCAACACCAACGAGGCCGCCATCACCGCCCAGTACGACAACGGCGTCCTCAAGGTGACCTGCCCACAGAAGGAGCCCATCCAGCCCGTCAAGAAGCAGATCACCATCCAGTGACCAACCCATCACAAGACACACGACACACCGATGGGGGGAGGGGCAAGGACTGGTTGTGTTTTTTCTAATCGGGTGTGAGTGAGTGCTCTACCTCGACGGACTTGTGAAGTCGCCATCAGTCATGAGCATGGCATGGTGGTAGACGACCATCATTCCATGTCGCTGGCTGGTGGCTGTCTGACATGTCCGTCTGAGTGATGGCTTGCCATGAAAGTGTGTATGAGTACGTCCACGGGTCGCTGCCCGGCTCATCCCACCCACTGGGCGCGCGGCTTCGGGTTTTTCTCTTGTTTTCCATCCTCTCTCTCTCGTCGCCTGTAACTCTGTAATTGTGTATATAGCTGGCTCCGTGCCTAATCTGGTTCTTCGAGCGCCACCTACCCCACCACACACACGAACTGGCGGCCTCACTGTCTGCCTGTGTCGTTCGTGTGTGTTTGAACATGCGGCGGCTCTCTTTTTCCTGTTCACGATGCATGGCATGCGTGTGAAGCGTGCTGTGCTGCTGGTGGGGGGGAACACACTCAAGCAGACAGACAGAAAAGAGATTTTCGTGGCACAAGAGACCCAGTTGTTTTAGCATGGCATCAGCTACATGAGTGCCCTGTCTGTGTCTGTCTGTCTGTCTGCTGCATGTCCGCCATGTGTGTGTAATTCGTCCACATCCACTTTTGTAGTGCTGGCTGTCACCATCTCGTGGCGGTGGTGGCGGCTGGCCCCGAGCGGATGAGCGGGGGGGGGGGGGGGGGGGGGGGGGGGGGGCTGGGCGGACGGACTCCCCTTCGTGTGAATATGCGTTTCAATGTGTGCATTTATCTGAAGTGGTGTTTATCGACAGAGGGGAGGGAGGGCGACTCACAGACAGACTGAAGTGACTCGCTGCACGTGCATGGAGGACACACACGGGCGGGCGATTCATGAAAGAACGATGAGATGGATCTGATGGATCCGCAGCGTATGGTCGAAAAAGGATTATGATAAACGTGTCCAGTACGTCACGCAGCAACAAGGACATCCACACACATCCGGATAGACAGCCCCAGCACTAAACCAACACGGCGTTCCGGGATCTAGGTCCGTCTGCGACGCGGCACCTATCTGCAGATAGGTCCGTCTCCTCCTCTCCCTCCCCCCATCCGGTCAGTAAGTATTGCTCTCCCCCGCTCTCTTCATCGCTCCAGTGTGAGTGTCCGGTCGTCCGTCTTGACCACCACAAATGGCGATCCGGCCGACGCGAGCGCCTCATCCACGGCAGCAGATGCGAGATACGCAGGCGAGTGCCTCAGCTCGCCCTCCAGCATCATGTCCGGCATCTGCACACTCTCGCGGAACTCGACCTTCTTGAGGCCCGGTGTGTTATTGATGACAGCCATCATGAAGTCCAGCCGCACGTCGCCAAACCGCTCGTGGACGCAGTAGGGCATGCCGATGCTCAGGTGCTTGATGAGCGGCAGGCGGGCGGCGAGAGCGGGGGTGGTGAAGAGCTGGTGCTGGGGGTAGCATGCGGACGGCAGCGACGCAATCTCGCGCTCGCTGTTGGCGGCGTGCTCCCAGGCAAGTCGCTCCAGCTGCGACACGCCCAGCGTCCGGATGCACTCGATGAGGACCTCTGCCATGCCTCGAGCGGTCCCGATCCTTGCCTCCACGTCGGACACACCGTCGCCATCGTGCTGAGGCGCTTCCGTGATGACACACAGGTTGACCACCTGCCCCTCCACCTCGCTCAGGAAGGGCTTGATGCCCGAAGCCTCCAGCGCCGCCATGGAAGAGAGCCGCAGCTCCAGGCCCATCTTGGTCACCTGCGGGAAGCGACTGGGACGGACACCAGGGCCTGCAGATGCCAGGGGCGGCAGCGGCGGCAGCGGCGGCAGCGGCGGCAGGGTGAGTGTGGGCCAGGACCAGAGGTGCAGTGCCGTCAGTGACTCGAACACGTAGTCGCCGAAGCTGCCCGCCGGTGCCGCGACCGACACCGTTTTGACCTTCATAGACCTGGCCACACGGGCCATCTCGCGGACGATCTTCTTGGGCAGCACGTCGGAGGCTGTCAGGCCGAGACGCAGCAGCCTGTCGTCGAATGCAGACGGCGTCCAGACGAGCAGCTTCACCGGCCGCTGTGTGGGCTTCTTCTTGGCCATCTCGCCACTCGCGTTATCGTCGTCATGGTCATCTGTGGGCACCATGTTGGGGAAGAGCGGCGCCCTCCTCCCGCCGCCCACAGACGGCTGGCACACAGCTGCAGCACTCGAAGACGACTGGATCCCGTGGTGTGGCTGGTTGACCACGTTGGTCATGATATGGTCCTCCCACGATGCGATGGGGATGGCCGTCACTTGAGTGTCGGCAGCCGATATGCCCACACCCGCCAGCAGATGGATGGCCGTGTCGAGTGCTCGCAGGCTGTCCAGCGTGTTCGCCAGCGCAGCCTCCTCCTCGTCAACAGGAACCGTCACCTCCACACACACGCCGAGTGTGTGGATACGGCCGTTGCGGCCGATGGCCCCCTTGTCGTCCAGCACACTCAGCAGCAGCTGCCAGGACAGTGCGTCGGTCCCCTGGGTGAGGGCGCACCCCAGCGAGGTCAGGTTCTTGAGCGATGGGACGACCGACAGGGCGCGCCTCAAGTTGTGGATGTTGATGAGCTTCACGTGCAGGTGGACGAGGCGGCTGGACGCGCGGATCCAGCACATGAGGTAGTTGGGGCGCAGGAGTGTGCTGACGAATGTCGTGAGGGCAGGGAGGGACCACCGCAATGAGTAGGCGTAGCCCTTCCAGAGGCCTCCGCCCAGCACCACCTCCTCCAGCTTGCCGAAGACCACTCTGTCGCACTCTGCTGGCGGGGAGGGACGGTCGTCAGCGGAGGTGCCCGATGGTCCATCTCAGGCTTGTGCGTCCTCGGGCTCCACCTCGAATAGCTGGCACTTCTCGAGCGACATAGCCGACGCCTCCAGCACCATCAGGTACACCCCGCGGAACTGATGCGCTTCTTGCAGACGCTGCAAGATGTCGGCGTCACGGTTGTGGTCGTAATGCAGGTCGTCACCCACATCGATGCTGGCCCTCTTCAGGTGGGTCAGCTGGCTGCGGAGCCGATTCACCCACTGGCACCGCGGGCACGGCCCTTGCAAGGGCCGCTCTGTGGTGTGTGGGCACGGTGCCTTGCGCCACAGCTGGTGTGTCTGAGGGGTGATGATCAGATGGCGGATGACGAACGGCGAAAGGCACGTGTCCTGCATGGTCTTGTTGATGAGAGCCAGGCGGAAGGACTGCTCGACGGGCAGATGCTCGCACACGCCGGCCAGCTCCTCGGGCGGGAAGCCGCACAGCGACGCGTTGGGCGGCGGGGCAGCCTGACCACAACAGACAAATAAATGCGGCGATGGACGCCTGAGCCATTCGTGTATGGGTATTCTTACCAGCTGTCGCTGTGTGACGATCACATTGGCGATGGCCTGGGCCTCCGGGCTGCTGAAATCTGACACACACACGAACACACATCACACATCAGTGTATTTCACAGCACGTCTTTGTCGAGATTGCCATCTTACTTGTCGGCTGCTCCTCGTGGTGCTGCTGGGGCTCCTCTTCTGCCTCGCCTGATGCACCGCCAGGCCGCAGGAAGCCACGGATGTCGGTTTGGCGGGACATGGTGGATGTTGGTGGGCGGGCAAAGCACCGCAGCTCGTGTGTGTCCTGCTGAGGCGGGAGGGGACGCCGGAAAGGCTCCGCAGCAGCAGCAGCAGCAGCTCCGAAGGCGAGTCAGCAAACGAAGAGATCTGACGACCTCATGGTATCTGATGAGCCTCCAAAAGGGCTGAATCGTCACCAGCAAAGACCAAGCAAAAAAAGGCACAAAGCTCCAGTCTGCTCGCGAGGAGAAGTTGGAGCAAAGCTGAGATGCCGAGGTGACCACCGTTCCTCACTGTACAGCCGAGAGAGCGGTGGAGACCTCCCAGCCCGGCTTGTTGCACGTCTTGTTGGCGAGCGCGAGATGACCCATCTGCTGGTTCGCCCATAGCAACTCATGGAGGTACGTGCCAACCACGACAGAACCAAAGAGAGAGAGAGGAGCAGCCAGCTCAGATCTGTTGTTGGTTTGCAGATGTCTGGCGGAGCTGACGAGAATGCCGGCAAGCGGCCGCGTGTGGACAATGATGACTCATCGCCGGCTGCTGCTGCTGCTGGAGGTGGGAAGAGGGACCCATGAAGGGAACAGACCGACTCACTCTTTGATGGCCGGCTGCCTTTGTTGTGATGCGCTCTCTCTCTCTCTCTCAGGTGGTGGATGTAGCACTGGTGTAGCTGTAGATGGCGGCCAGCCGTCGGACCAAGAGGTGCATCCCGTCATAGACTGGGTCAGCAGCACAGCCACCTGCAGGGACGACACACGCAGACAGACACACTTGATGGCTCTGTGTGTGCCCGTGTGTTCATCTCATCAGGCCGACAGGGCGAATGTTTGTCGGCTGGTCCCCTTGTTGAGGAAGATCAAATCGCTCGAGGCGCAGACGGCGGCCGTGCTGTCAGAGATGCGACCACACGTCACTCCCACACTGGCCGACAAGGTACACACACACACACACACACACGCCCTTCTCCTCCTCTCTGTGAGTGGTGATGTGTGTTGGCAGGTGCCGGGCCTGTCGAATAAGCTGATGACGGTGGAGCAGTCGGTGGCGTCGCGACACGACACGCTGCGGGGTCTCATCAAGACACTCGACAACGTGGCAGTCGCCAAGCCGCCACTCCCGCAGCCCATCGCCACCAAAACCCTCCCACCAGACGCCACAATAACCCAGGCAAGCCACACCAAATCAGCCCAAACATCCACACACATGACATGTGGGCCCCTGTGTGTGTGGTCAGCTCGGTCGTCCGAGTCTGGACGACCTGCCGCCCGACGTGGCGCACATCGTGTTGGCCTTCATGCCCACCAAAGACGCCGCGCCCCTCTCCCGCGTCAACCAGGCCATGAAGCAGGTCGTCACCGACGACACGAGGGGCGTGTACCGCCACTTGGTCATTGGTGTGGACGAGCGAGAGTGGTGGAATCGGGGCATTCGGAGGAACGCCAGGCGGACGCTCGAGGACATCGGCGTCCATGGCGACGACAGCAGTGAGGAGGATATAGAAGAAGATGAGGAGGAGCAGGAAGAACAACAACAAGAAGACGACGACGACGACGACGAGGAGGAGGAGGAACAGGAAGAGGACCAGGAGGATGAAGAAGAGAAGGAAAAGGAGGACGACTCGGTGAGGGAGGGAGAGGACGACTCGGCCGGGGAGGGGGTGACGGGCGGTGCGGACCTCAGACGGCCGAGCAAGCGGCTGAGAGAGCAAGACGCCCTCGATGTACTGAAGCAGAAACTGGTGCGCAAGTACACCATACCAGCCAAGTCAAGTGACCATGGCTGATCTCTGTCTGTCTGTCTGGTGGCAGGGTCGGCTGCGGACGGCGCACATCAGCACTCACTGGAAGCGCCTCGACTTCCCTCTCAAGTGCATCGAGGCCTCCCGCGACACAGTGAGGAGCATGAAGCTCTGCGACGACACCCCGGGTTTCGAGGATTACTACTACGGCGTGCCGACATCGCGGCCCAGGGTGTGCTTCTCACAGCTGGAGGACCTCTACGTTGAACGGTGGCCAGCTCGCCGTGGGTAAGCATCACTGCTCTTCATTGTCACACCGCTATGCACTGATCATCCCCTCTGTGTGTGTGTGCGTGCGTTTAGCTTCCGTGGGTGGCGGTGGCGATTCCCATCACTTTTTCGCCTGCGAGTGGAGGGTCCCACACCCTGGCATCAGTATGAAGGTGCCAAGGACATTATGAAGCGTGCCCCCAAGCTCAAGTCCCTGTGTAAGCAATCATGCCTCTCACATGCACGTGCTGCATCGATGGATAAATTCTCTATCCCTCTCTCCTTGTGTGCAGCGGTCGAGTACGTGTCTACTCGCGATGAGGAGGAGGATTTCGCCTCCCTCATTCAGGGATGCCCGCACCTCACCGACATCGAGTGGGTGCACCTGGGCCTGAGCCACGAATTCGCCCGCAAGCTGGGCAAGCTAAAGCGTGATCTCGACCCCATCTGGAGCAAGGATAGCCTGAAGGGTGCGCGAGCCACCGAGCGAGAACAGAGAGAGGAACCACCGACAGGCTGACCGCATTGTTTTTGTGGCTGTGTGCAGATGTTGACAACAGGATCGGCCTGGAGTTCGGTGACAAGATCTCCGTCCCCTTTACCCATGAGCTGCTCCATCCCACAGACACTGATGCCATGAGCCTCCCTGACTTCCTCAACTGGGCAGGGTAAGTCGGTACGACAAACCGACGAATGGACAAGCGGGAGGATTGCAGTGGATGCTGTGCATCTCTTGTGTGTGGGTTTGTCTGCAGCGTCGGTCAACTGCACGGTCGACTGGAGGGTCGATGAGGTGGTTGTGGACTGCTCCAGGGACCTCGTCATTTCCCCTCCTGCACCCACTGGCCCCATCGCCAAAATGATCAAAGACATGTGTAGCACGGCCGATGAGGTGAGCAACACACAAGACAGGAGGCCTCAAAGGGACGCACATCGGTTCCTGCGTACTATCTGTATGTCTGCCTGTCCGTCCGTCCGTCCGTCTGTCTTGTCCGGCCAGGTGACTCTGCGGTGTGGCGGGAGGCCTCTGGACCAGTCATGGGCCGGCCTGCTGGTCTTCACCAAGGCCACCACGCTGTCTGTGAGGGGGCTGACGTCATCCCGGGCCTTGTCGAGTGTGCCGCAGTGGATGGCAGCCAAGAGCGACACCACCGGTGGCAATCGCCATCTGCCCAACATCACCAGCCTCGTTCTCGATCTGGGTGTGTGTGACGGCGTGCCTGTCGGGCTCGATGGCCCAGGCACATTGCTGGGCACCTTAGACAGGCTCACGACAGTCAGTCTGACACGTTTGCCGAACCTGGGCGTGGCAGCGTTTTGCCTATCGCAGCTGCCCCCCACTGCCAAGCTAGAGAGCGTCAAGGTGCAGACGAGGGCCTCGGTGTGTAGCTCAGAGGTGCTTGCCATCTCTGACTGCGCCCGATACCCTCACATCGCCTCCATGACTGTCGAAGTGATCAATAGCAACACGATGAGTGGGCTTGCGTCTGGCGTCGCTTTGATCGCTGCTGTGCGGCCTGCGACTGTCTGTCTGAAAGCGACTGTCTATCTGACTTCTCTGCACGATCGGGAGGGGGGCGAGGGCAGAGAGGCCGAGTTCCGTAGAGAAGTGGAGCAGTGCATCGATCAGGCAGAGAAAGCCCACTATGGGCTGATTGCCGATTTGAGCAGGGCGGGGGACGACGATGACGACGATGAGGAGGGGTACCCTCCACGAGTAGAGCTGCAGCTGGTGAGGCTGCCAACGCATTCATGACATGTCGATGGGTGCCTAGCTTTCTGTGGGGAACATCGTGTCTGGCGTGTGGGGGCTGGGTGATGCAATCTGCGTGTCGATGGGTCGTTTTCACACTCTTGCTTCCTTGAAGGATCAGTGTGTGGTGTGGATGGATGGGTGGGTGTGGGTGAAGGGAAGTGCTGGTGCACTCTTTCTGCGTAGGGGACGTGCGTGCAGTGACAGTAAGGTGCGTGTCTGATCATCCATATGGATTTCCATGAGCCTCGACATCCATGCATTCCTCCCGGCCGTTCCTTCTCTGCCGACACACACACCTACGTCCCACCCGCCTCCACGTGGTGTGTGTGTGTGTGTGATGTGTGTATGTCCGCTGTGTGGAGGCCATCAATCAATCTCTCTCTTACAGCGGATGAATGCACCGTGTGAAGGCATGAATGCACTGACAGTCTGTCTCTGCTGCTTCGATCAGTCCTTCGATTGCCAGCACACCACAAGACCACAAGACTGATCAGCGGGCACGGCTGTCTCCGCAGCCACTGCCTGCGTGCATACGTTTCTGTCGATAGCTGACTGGTTGCCCAGGGCGGGCGGGCGGCTTGACGTGTTTGCTGCATGCTGACTCATGTGTCAGTGATTGTCTTTCCCGTACGTGCCCTGCCTCTCTGTGTCTCCATTCCTCGGCTGGATTGACCCATTTCATGCTCTTCACTTGTCAGCCGGCGCAGTGACAAGCGTGAATGGGATCAATCCAGCTGTGAAGTGAAGACTGTCATTCACGAAACAAGGACCGACCGGCACGTTCAATCAATGAAGGTGGGTCTATCCAGAGCAGAATGGCTTCATGTAGTGGCCTCACTCAAGCAACGCCGCACTGTCACCAGACTGAGTGCTCGAGACACTTCATGGAGGCCACGCATACGAAAGACACGTTCTTGAATGAGACCGAGTCAATCTTGTCCGTATGCACATACAAAGCACTCAGTGCCCTCGAGTTGCAACGAAAAGCAGCGAAACGTGCAGCCACTTCACCCCCCACTCTACGGCTCTCCCATCTTCCCCTCCCTTTCCCACTCAGTCGATGCCCAGCGACACAAACAGGCCGGTCGTCCTGTCGATGCGGCCCAGCTGGCCCCACTCGAACTGGCAGTCCTGGTCGCCCAGATGCTCATTGAAGCCCTTGACCACACCCTCCAGTGGGACCCCATGGGTGCCGGCCTCGTCCAGCCGGGCCCGGTGCACCACCTTACGCACACCCATCTTGCGGCCACCCACACCGCCCACCCTAAAGCACTGCAGGGGCGGGGCGGTCACCTTGACGCGCTTGTCGCCCTGCTGCTCGTATCGCGTCCCGCCCACCACCTCCCTGTTGCTGCTCGTCTGGGTGGCCGCCGACTTGACGAAGTGGCCGACGGCCGCCTTGACGCGGCGCCTCAGCACCGACTCGCCAATGAGGTACTCGTCGATGGCGGCCACAGCAGCGGGGGGCTCGTGCAGGAAGGCGCCGATCTTCCATCCGATGGCCTCAGCCTCGTGTGGGCCGAATGCCATGTTGGATGGGGAGGGGTGGGGGTGGGCGCCGTCGTGGTGGGGGGCGAGGGGCAGCAGACGGGCGAGAAGCATCAAGTGGTCGCGCTGGGGGGCGAGGGCGCCGTTGATGGCCGACATGACGGCCTCGGACAGCTCACTCAGCACTGCGGCATACTCGGCCAGCACCAGCTGACGCAGACGCCGCTGATCTTCGGTGGCGGTGGGCATGCGGGCGATGGACGGGGCCGCCCCTGCCCGCAGCAGCACACCGATGATGGTCTTGTGCTCGTGGATCAGTCGTAGCCGCCACCGCCTCTGTGACTGCTGCTGTATTCGGATATGGTTGTAGAGAGCCTCGGCGGCAAAGGCGAGTGGTGTCATGTTGGGCTGGTTGGGCAGTCCTCTGTTGACGTCGTCGGCTGTGAGTCGGTGGCACAGCCACTCAGCCAAGAAGTGGGAGCCAGCTCTTGCCGCCTCGTGCAGTGGCGTCCTGCCCTGTCTGTCTGCTGCCGTCATATCGGCTCCGTGGCTGGTGATGAGGGTGAGGTACTGATCGATTAACTGCTGGGAGAACATGCAGGTGGCCCTGGCTGCCAAATGGACCAGATTGTCTCCAACGACCCGCTCCTCTGCGAGTGTGCTGTCGTGTTGGATGAGCCGGCGATAGATGGACATGAGAGTGTCCTCGTACTCACGAGTAGGGGAAAGGGCTGCATGGGGGACGTAGGGAAGCTCCATCACCCCAAATCCCCGCACGTTGGCCTGACGCGCCAGCAAGGCCTCCACAGCCGTCAGATTACCCGCCACAATGCCCATCGTGATGGGCCGCTGCATCCATCCGCCCCCATTGACGTCCGCCCCGCCGTCGATGAGTGCGCTTAGGATGTCACGCTGCAGCTGACGGGAGGCCCACTGCGGCAGAACGACGGGCCGCGAAGAGCCATCAGCGCCGCTCGCATAGAGCAATGGGTAGTTTGTTAGGCTGTCGATGGCGAAAGGCAGGCAGCTGTATTGCGAGTACGGGGCTCTTCCTGGGATGCCGCCGTGGACACGAAGGCCGCCGGCGGCTCTCGGGTCGGCTCCTTGCTCGATCAGCTGTGTGACCTGGGCGGCGTCCGTGAATGCGCGGCGAATGCAGCCCTCCAGCAGCTGCCGACTGAGAGGACTGACGCCCTCATCGGGGACGATGTCGACGTCATCCAGCCCCTTGCAGCCGGGAGGCACAGGAGGTGCTTGCGATGCGGCAGACGACGATTGGGCCATCACAATGAGTCACGCCACTGCACGCACGCAGACCCACACAGTCAATTGCCTCTTCCTTGTCACGTTGCTGACGCACCTGGTCAGTCAGTCAGTCGGCGGCCGCCCCAGCGAAGCCATCAACGAGGTCAAACTCTGCAGTGAAAACAGAAAACCGTTTGCCAGCCACAAGTGAGTCGTCCTCCGTACCGTCAGCAGGTGGATCAGACTCCTCCAAGACCAACACGCTCGGCTTCTTCGTCACGCAGAGAGATCAGCAAGCCTTTGTTTCCCATTTTTTCTTCCTCGCTGTGGCTGTGGAAGCAGGACAATATGTGCTGAGAGCGTGCTGAGCGTCGGTCCCTTTTCTCCTTCCTCCCCCGCTGCGAGCTTGGCGCCAAAGGACCCAGGTCAGGCAAACGCAAAGTGCTTTGCTTTTCCCGAATGGGTGCATTCCGGGAAGCCGCTCTCTCTTGAAGGACCAAGATCTGTGACTTTGACGTGCTTCACACCGCTCACACGTCCACTGAGCATGCAAAGGAGTCCAAGGCATGACCGCCTGAGCATCAGAGGTGCCAAGCCAATGTCCATTCTGCTGGCTGATGTGTAGATCTCGACTACAATGCTCTCTCTTGTTTCTCTTGATAGCGGCTTTCGAGGCTCCAATACACACCGAGGCGCTCTCCCAGCAATCTCTCTTGTTCAGCTTGCCGCAGCTCCCCAAGCCAGCTGCAACAAGGCAACCACGACGGCTACATCAGCTGCATGCAGGCGCCTCAGCGGCTCTCATCGATGAATCCGCCAAGGGCCAAGAGCTCGATTCAGCAGTGGACCTCAGGAGCAGCCAGATGCAGCCTCGCCGTGAGCCGTCACGTGCGCAACGAATCGTGCCAGAAGTGCTGCAGCTATTCCGGGACGAGTGCAGCAGGAGTTTAAACACCAGCGGTGGAAATGGCGACTCATTCAAGATCAGCGACACCCTCCGGAACGGCTTGACGACGCTGTCGCCACGGCAGATGGTGGATCTGCTGGCGGCCATCGCTTCAGATGACACCATCTGCAGCGTTCCAACACCCGTCTACAGCCAGCTGCTCGCCCAGTTCCAGCCACGCACCATTCTGGCGTCGCTCAGACGACTGACGGCACCGGCAAGTGCACCCAACACGGCAAAGAACAGGGAGCTGGTGACAGCTCTGATGGACCACGTTGCCGCCAACATGAGCGAGTTCGCAACTCCGTCGCTGGCGCCCGATCTGCTGCTGATGTGCCTGAAGACGGTGCGGCCTGAGAGACGGTCTTTCGTGGCCATGACGCGGCAGCGGCATCCGCAAGTGGCTCTGATAGTGGAAGGGCTGCTGAGGGAGGTGGTCACACAGGCACGGAGGGGGAGTGCCTCGTCCAGTGGTTGTGGTGTCAGAGTGTGGGACGCGGCGGCCATCATCGGTGTGCTCTACTTCTGTGCCAAGGTTAGGAAAATGCGCACAACACAGACTGATACGTCTGCGACGGACCCTTTGTCTGGCCTGCCTCAGATGGGTCTAAAGGCTGAGGCCAATCTTCCCGCAGCCCCCGAGATCAGGTGCCTGATAAATGAAGCCGCCCGTCAGGTCGCGACAAACGGCGTCGTCGAGTCCTTCGGTCGAGAAGGTGTTGCCAAGTTCCTGTGGACCTTGGCGAGCCTCCTGCCGCCTATCCCACTTATTCTCAACTCTCGCGATGCGGCCCGCGTGACTGGCGAAGGGGAGGGGGAGGGGTCAGATCGAATCAGCGAGGAACATCTGACGGATGCCTTTCTAGTGCTGGGTGATCGGGCCGAGGCACTCATGGAAGAGCTGACGGCCGGAGAGATCGCCACGTGCCTGTGGAGCTTCTCGACTGTAAGGGAGGAGCGGGACCGTATTTGTTGAAGGTTTTGGATGGATGGATGGATGGATGGTTGGCTTCTGTCTGTCGTGTTTGTTTATTGGTCGGTCAGCTTGAGATGGTTCACGAGCGGCTCTTTCGCAGCGCTGTGGAGGCACTCGGACAGCGAGACCTCACGACATTCACCGGCATGGTGAGCGACGGACCGAACCAATGAAAGCTAAAACAGAATTCAATAAGTATGCTTCTGTGTTTTTGGTTGGATTGGTACTGACTGACGGCAGGACATGCGGTTCATTCTTCAGGCCTTCTCACGCACAGGGACCGTCCTCCCGCCGAGTGTTTGCCAGCGACTTCTGGCCCACCTGTGGGCCACCAGCCAGGGGCCGATAGCGGGGTCGGCAGACCATCGGGCGGGCACCGTGCTGTCCCTCGGCAAGCTGCTGCAGGGGGCGGATGACGCCACCCAGCATCAGGGGGACACAAGTCTGCGTCTGGGTGCTGCTGAGCGGATGCGCTTTGCCAATACGATCCTAGTATTGATGCCGCCACCGGAGGCTGTCAAGAGCAAGGTGGAGCCCAGCCAAAGGCACACACCTGACTGACACAGAGAGAGGTCCCCAGCAGCCAGCCATCACAGGTGTGCTCTCTCTCTCTCTCTGTGTGTGTGTGTGTGTGTGTGTAGTCCACCCCATTCCTTGCTGGGGCCCTCTCGGCGATAGCCTCTCACATGTCGCTGGAGTCCTTCACAAGCGGCAGTGAGACCGTCATCCCGTTGGCTGACGACGACCAGCCCCCGACCATCATGGAGGCACAGTTCTGCCTCATGGAACTCGACGACGCCGCATCGCGGCTGGCGGCCCACATATCGGCCAGCTTCCACACAATGCGGCGTCGGGAGCTCTCCCAAAGCCTCAAGAGCCTAACATCCTACTTCGTCAGCCGGGCCAAGCACCTCCTCAACTTTCCCGACGCCCCGGAGTGGCGTGGACTGACCACTGCGGCGCCATCAAGGACGCTGCTGTCTCTGGAGGGGCTGGAGAACTCCATCGATCGCATCATCAGCACTATGGCCGACCAGGGGCCAAACCTGCGGACACTGCTGGCCCGGCAGTTCAACCCGGATGACCTTCACGACCTGCTGTTCGCTCTGGGGCAGCTGGAGAAGGGGAGGTCGTATTTGCGGGCGACGGAGAGCCCCTGGGTAGCTCTGGCGCTGTCCACGCCTGAGGCCGACGGACTCGATCTGCCGATGGATGAGGGTCTGCACACTCACCTTCTGCAGAAGGGGACCCTGGCTGTTCGTGAGGCTGCCGTGCACGCCGTTCGTCAGCAGGGGCTGGGTGCGTTCGACTCAGTGCAGCTGACGTACATCTTGTGGGCGCTGGCGGAGACATTGCCCGACTCGATCACTGCCTCTTTATCTGCCTCTGGTGAGCGGCTGGAGAGCCTGCGGCTGATCAACGACATCTGTGTGGGCCTGCTGGAAGGCGGCGACCCCACCCTGCAGCACTTCGACGAGGCCTCCCTCTCCCTCCTCGCGCACACGCTCCAGCGGCTGTCGTCCGTCCTCGCCACATCCGGCCTCACATCCATGGTGCTCATGGCCGTGCTTCAGCACGTCGCCACGAGACGCCCGCTAGCGGCTTTCCGAGCCCGCAGCATTGTCGTCTTGGGCAACGCAATGGGGTCTCTTGTGCAGAGCTTCTGCCAGACAAGGGATGGATCGCTGTGTAACAAGAGATCGGTGTTGGGCGACCTGGTGGGGACGTGGGCGGATGCAGCGAGGCAGCGGGTGGATGAGGCGGCAGCCATCGAGCTGGTGCACATGACATGGGCGCTGAGTCAGTTTTTCCGACACCCTCTCTCTGCTCGCGACATGGGCGACGACCGCGATGGCGACTCGGCGTCGCTGTCCTATGACTCGTTGCAGCGGCTGCAGCAGGAGCTGATGCAAAGCTTTATTGACCGGATGGGGAGCTTTTCGCCGCTGCAGGTGTCGAGGATGCTGGAGCTGCTCGGATCGCTACCCGTACTCCCTGCCGACGCAAGTCCTTCAACACGGGATTTCACCGGCCGCCTGGCCTCCGAGCTCACCAACCACCTCAGGTCGACACGGATGAAGTCAGTAAGGCGATGCATTCACTTCCTCCGGGCAGTGCACAGGCAAGGCACCTTGTTGTGCGATGCGTGTGGCCGGTCTGTCTGCATGCTATGCTTTCAGGCTGATGCCCATCCAGCAGGTCCCTGCCGTACTCTTGGGCTTCTCTGGTCTGCTTAAGTTGGTCGACCATGACGCCGCCACCGTTGCCAATCTCACAGACGAGGCCGCACGGCTGCTGCTGCCCCCCTCATCCCCAGCCCCAGCAACCAACGTTGGCGACACTGGACCGTTGGCCGCTCTCCCACCCTCCCGCCTCAGGCAGCTTGCCGTCAGTCTGTCGATCCTGCCTGTGGGTCCTGTGTCAGCATCGTTGCCTCAGGCTATTGCCCGTCTGCTGTCATCTCCACATGTGCGACAGCGGTACACGGAGAGCGAATGGCAGGAGATGTGGAGCGGCATCTCGCGAGCGTCTTCCAGCCATGTCAGTGTCAGGACGAGGAAAGAGGGGAGAGGCAAAGCGGGAGAGGGAGAGGGAGAAAGAGACTCTGTCGATAGGGACGTGGTGGAAACAGACAGAAAGAGAGATGAGGTGCGGGCGATGTTGAGAGAGATAGGTGACAAGGTGGGTGGGGTCGATGGTGCTGAGCTGGACTCGATTAGTGCGGCAGTCAGCCGACTGCATGCGGCAAGAATGAATGAGTGATAGATGAGATGACTGCTTCGACAGAGACGGGAAATGTCAGATGCTGATTCAACGTAGCGTACGTAGCCACACAAGCCAGCGTCTCATTGTCAGTCGAGTCATGGCCAGCCAACATCAACATCATGATGCGCTCTCACAAAAGAAAGCGCAAACAGGCTGCTCGGCTTACAGGAGGTTCGTCAAATCGACGAAGCCCCTTCGATAACTAACCCACCACCCCACTAGTACCATCTCGCCATCCGTCCACAGTCAGTATCCCATCCCACCAGCCAAGCCAGATCAGATCACATCACATGAGCACGTGGCTGGTGTATCTCGCTTGGCACGCCAGCAGCTTGTTGACCAGATCCTCGTCGCAAAAATTGAGCCGATACCGATGCACAAAGCACCGCTGGAAGTTCTCCACGTGGTGGTAGCACTCACGCGACACTCTGAGGGCGGACCACAACGCACACCAGCACACAATCACCCAGATCTGCCCGGCCACTTGGTCAGTCCGGTGACTGACATTGAGTGCCTTACACGTCAGCAGTGGCATCGATGAGCTGCTTTTGCAGGTACTGGCACTGCTCGGTGTCGCCCGTGGACCTCATGCAGGTCAGATACCTCTGCACGCTGCTTCGGGCCTCACCCACAGACGCCATCGCCGAGAGGAAGATCTGCTCCTGGTGAGAAGCGGCTCACTGTTTCTCTCACGCCAAGAGTTCACGCGGAGTGCCTTTTCCCTGCCCTCCCTTCTCTCTCCTCTCTGAGCTCGCAATGATCGCGCGTGCCGCTTCTGTGCGAATTGTCTCGTTATCAATCGCGGGCGCTCCTCTGAGCCCTACAGGACTGGTATCCTGCAGTTTGTTATTTGATTGATTTGTCATTCGGCCCTGTACGGAGAAAAGGGCGTCGCCTTTGAGCTGTCAGGCGAGCGTCACTCTGCGTGAAGACTTGGGGCTTGGTGTGAGGCCGTGAGGCCACCCGCTGCACGAGAGTGTTGGGCTTCGGTCACGATGTCGCCGTACGGATGGGTGCTGCTGGTGGGCAACATCGTGTTCTCCACGACCTTCCTGGCCTTCTTCACCATCGCCCTCATACTCAATGCAGGTCAGGGCACCCACAGCCATGCATCGTCAATCACATGTGTGGACGCAGACGCATCTTTCTCTCGACGTCTGTGTGTGTGTGTGTGCGTGCCCGTGTGTGTGTGTGTGTGTGCAGAGCTGCGGCGGTTCTGCTTCTTGTGGATCACGTGGATAGGCTGGCTGCTCGTCACCTCCCTCTTCTCCTTCATACGAGTGGGCCTCGGCGCCTGGCACGTGCTCCGCATCACTCTCGACCTCATCGCCTTCGCGGCACTCAACGCCCTCAGGCGCGTCTTCCGGGCATTCCAGTGCGCCACCAATCTCTACAGGAACGACCCCAAGGAGCAGCTGTGCATCCAGCTCGACGAGGCCAGCAGCTTCGAGGAGTGGATTGAGATCTGCGCCGAGTTGGACGAGCTCGAGGGCAAGAGCAAGTGGCGGCACAACCCTGCTGCCGGCGAGGCCTACGACTGGGCGTTTCTTTTGCGTGTGACGGACCGTTTGAAGAGCGCCAGGGAGAGGAGCGACTACAACTCGCTGATGTTCCTGCTGCAGACGTCTTGCTGCCGCAACTTCTGCAACCTCTCCAACCCAGGTATGTGAGCCCACCCAGCCAGCCACCCAGCCAGCGACTGAGCCGAGCCATACACACGAAGCAGCCAGCTGACATCCTCCCTTCTATGCCCTCCTCCGTGCCGTAGAATTGTTCTCTGTGGCTCGCACCGGCACCAAGCTCTCGGTTGACGAGTACACCAAGGTGTTGTCCGAGGCTTTGTTCGACCTGGTGGAGGCCAAGGCGCCCGAGCTCCGGTCGAGGTCGCCGTCGCAGCCCATGTCGTCGCCGCTCTCAATGCCAAACCTGACCAGTGTTATGGGAGACGAGGCCATACAGACGACGACCCCCAGCGACCGGCTGGATGATGTCGCGTGGACCCGTGTGGAAGGCACCAGCTGCTCCAGAGCCGTCAGTGGAAGGAGAAGGGCACAAGAGGCGGGTTGCACTCATTTGATAGATATCGTGTTGTCCAATTTGTGTGTTTCTCAGGCCCAGACGGACGTGTCAGTGGGTCCGGAGGACGTGTCGTTCGCCGAGCGGCTGATTCCCTCCCTTACGGCGGTCACCCCCCTTGTCCCCTCGCCCACGGGCAGATACGTCGCCAGCAACATCACCGCCACGCCATTCAACAGGCGGCAATCGCCGCCAGCCACCGGCAGGCACGACTGCCTCCCGGCTGACTATGACCTCGTCATGACCTGCGTCAGCACCACCCACATGCCACGGACACAGCAGCCTCAGCCTCAGCCGTCCGCCGATCTGAGGCGGCGGATCATCGAACCGGCCTCTCCCGATGCTCAGGCGGACAAGGACAGCGATAACAACAACAGCAGCGTGACCCCAAAGGCACACAAGGCCGCCTCAGGGGCCACGGGAGAGACCCCCGCGCTGCCCCCCTCGCCCACCCTGCCGCCTTCGTCAAGGGAGATGTCGCCGTCGGGCGACATTGACACCATGCTGTCCGGCGTGGAGGCGCTGCAGCGGAGGGCGGCCTTTCTGCGAGAGAAGCTGACGTTCTTCACGAACCTGCGGCTGTCGATTGGTCGTACGGCGCTGTGTCTGTCCGGGGGGGGTGCGCTGGCCATGTACCACTTGGGGGTGGTGAAGACACTCATGGAGCATGGGCTCATGCCAAGGTGGGTGAGGTGACCTCACACAAGCACAGCCAGCACAGCCAGCGCTGAGACAGACAGACAGACAGACAGAGAGGGGAGGGAGACATTCCCGTGGTGTTTGTGTGTCTCTGTGGTGTGCTTAGGGTGATATCTGGTACGAGTGGTGGGTCTATCGTGGCTGGCATGCTGGCCATCTGCACCAACGAGGAGATGAAGGACGTCATCCGGCCGGACGTCAGCGAACGCTATGGGGTCCGGTGGTTCCCACCCTTCGGCAGACAGGTCGCCAACTTCCTCATTGGCGGTGAGGGAGTGAGACAGCGAGTGGCCTCCCATCCACCTCATCCACCCACACACACGCACCCACGCAGGAGGCAGCACTGTGGTAGAAATGTGTGTGTGTGTGTGCGCCTCTGTGTGTGTGTGGTCAACTCAACAGGTTACATGATGCAGACCTCATTCTTTACGAAGACGTGCAAGGTCTACTTCGGCGACTGGACCTTCTCTGAGGCCTTCAAGAAGACGGGAAGGCTCGTGAGCATCGCCGTCTGCCCCGCCAGCAGAAGGGGAGAGGTCCTGGTCTGCAACTACGTCAACACGCCAGACATCTATATCTGGTGACAGCAGTGCACACCACAGCCACAATCACAATCGATGGATGCACTCCTTGTGTGTCGGTCGGTGCCGGTGCGGTGCAGGTCGGCCGTCGTGGCGTCGTGTGCGCTTCCCGGGCTGATGCCGCCCGTCGAGCTGTACGCCAAGGGAGCGGACGGCAAGCCGGTGCCCTACTACCCCTCTGGGATGGTGTGGATGGACGGCAGCGTCAAGCGGGACATCCCGACCGCCGAGCTCAGCTCGCTCTTCAACGTCAAACAGTTCATCGTCTCACAGGTACGTGCCGAGAGAGGAGAGGGGGGAAGGGGTGGTCATGACGCGATGCGTTCGGCCGCTCATGCGCCTTCGGCTGGCGTGTGTGTGCAGGTGAATCCTCACCACGCGCCGTTCGTGAGCACCTTTGCGGCCGAGGGGCGGACTGCTCGAGCGGTCGAAAACTGGCTCACGATGGACATCAAGGTGAGCGACAAGAGCGAGAGGAATCCTAAGTATGTGTGTGTGGCCATGTATGTCACCATTCCGTGTGTGTGTGTGTGTGTGCGTGTGTCTGTGCGTGTGTGTGTGCGTGTGTGTGTGTTAGAATCGTTATGCGATGCTGACCAAGTTCCAGATGGTGCCCAAGCTGTTCGGCCAGGACATCTCTGGCTTCTGGCTTGTTCAAGACTACGAGGGCCATGTCACCATCACCCCGAGGGCCTCACTCATGGACTGGTGGAGGTACGTCCGCATCACTACACAACGACACTCGTCGCACGGGAGATGTGATCCTCTCTGCGTGCGTGTGTGTGGTTGGTTGGTTGGTTGGGTGTGTGTGTGCAGGATGATGAACCACCCGACCTTCACAGACATGTCGTACTTCATTGCCGAGGGGCAGAGACGCACATGGCCACACGTACCAAGACTCAAACACATGCTCAAGGTCGCTCAGCCACACACGAAACAAACGCCAAACCACACACATCTCTCTCTCTCTCTCTGTCTGTCTGTGTTGTGTCAGGTTGAGATGACGCTGCGCGAGTGTCGTCGCCGGCTGGAGGAGCAGGCCGCTGCTGTGGATGTGGAGCTGCGACACGCCCTCACAGCCAAGATCAACAACTCGTCCATCCCGGCAGCACCACCCGCCACCTACCAGCAGCCACGAGAAATCGAGGAGGACCAACCACAATCGGCAGGAAAGAGGCAGGGCCAGTCTGACGGCGCCGGTGCCATCTGCTTCCCTGCCCCCACCAGTAGCCCCACCCCGGCAGCAGCACCAACAGCTGCAATAGCAGCAAGCAGCCCTCCCGCCCGTCAGCAGGCCCATCTGCCCGGCCTGTACGTCCACTCCCCCATCCATCCCCAGTTCCCCCTCCTCAATCAGTCCTTCCCCACACCACGCCAGCAGCAGCAGCAGCAGCAGGAGAACCATCCAGAGCGGTCGTCCTCCCCCATAGCGAGCGCAGCGTCGCCCCACGGTCTGAAGGCGTCGCTGAGCAACCCCAATCTGGTGGACTCACTGGGGATGGACTCGCGGACGTCGTCCCTGGGGATGGTTGTGCGGCCGTCGATGCGGTCGGGGGGCAGCCCGATGGTGAGCAGTGTCGAGAGGGAGGTGGACGAGGGGATGCGTTTGAGGGCGGGCAGCAGGACACAATCCGTCGCTGCCACTTAGACGGTGACTGACGGTGGGGGCTCGAGGTGGGGTGGGGCTCGTGGGGTGGGTGGGGTGTGCAATGAGTGAGTGAGTCATGGCTGCGGTGCGTGTGTGAATTGTCCTGACAAGCTGCTTGGCACACACGCACACACAGACCAGGTGCTACAATTCTAGCGCTTACCTGAGTGTTGCGGTGAGAGCGTCCTTGTGGGTGGATTTATACTATGATGGATGATTTTGACCGATCGCTTTTGTATGGCCTTTCGCTCTCTCTCTCTGTCTCTGTCTGCCTGCCTGCCTGCCTGCCTGTCTCTACGAATGGTTGGGTGAGTTGGTGGGGTGTGTGGGTCTCGGGTCGACGCTGTTTGCATCCTTCGTCCATCATGCAATCTTTCTTTTGCCAAATACCTCTCTCTCTCTCTCTTCTGCCCGTGCACACACACGTCCATGCCATTGCGAGTCTGTGGTGCGGGGCCCCGCACACATCTCCACACACACATCTCCACACACACATACCGGTGTAATGAGCACATGTATGTTTCTTTTTGACGACACCCATATAGCTACACGCACAGCACGGCTGCACGAGACTGTAGCGCTTGGCGCATTAGTGAGAGCCTCGCGAGACACGTGAGGGCAGCGCACCAACTCGATCGCCGTGCAGCATTGTTTTGTGCGGTGGCTTGGGCGGATGTGTGTGTGGGGGGGGATGGATGGATGGATGGCGTACGCTCAACAGTAGAGTACCGACCTATATGCCTGCACACGGGCGGAAGACGGTCAGTCACTGAGGACGGAATGCTGTCTGTCCGTCCGTCCAATGCATGTGTTCGTGTACGTCTGTCTGTCTGTACGCGATAAGAAACTCTGAGCGAAAGACTTGTACTGTGTGAGAGATGCTACGCTACCTAGTGATGACTGACTTCCTTCATGACACGAACCATTATTTAATCAAGTACTGGATTTGACCACCACACCGCTGCGTCGCTGCACTGGCAGAGACTCCCCCAGGCCCTCTCTGTAGGGGGGAAACTGTCATTAACCGTAACACTCGTCTGTGTGTCCGTGATACTCATACAAATACAGTCCCATCAGCACGCAGACTCAAACAGGCTCAAGGGGAGGAGGGATCAATCCCCGCCCCATCAGCACACCCCAGTCCCGCAAACCCTCCCCTCCCTCCCCCACGCAGAC